ACTGGTCAGGCTGTGGACTCAGTAAGGGAGGAGGAGGACCAGTGGAAAGCGGGAGGCCAAGAACCTGCTGAAGGAGCGGAACGTAGTACGGCCGCGGCCGCGCAGCGCCTCCAGAAACAGCAGAGACAGCACCAGTACCCCCAGCTCCAGGGTCTCCAGCTCCAACTCCCGCAGCACCACCAGCTCCAGCACCTCTAGCAGCTCCAGCTCCAGCAGCACCTCCAGCAGCAACAGCTCCAGCACCTCCAGCTCCAACTCTTGCAGCACCACCAGCCCCAGCAGCTACAGTACCTCCAGTACGAGCACCTCCAGGACCAGCACCTCCAGCACCTCCATCAGCTCCAGCTCCTCCAGCAGCTCCAGCACCAGCAGTACCTCCAGCAGCTCCAGCTCCAGCAGCGGCGAGCAAACCACTCGCGCAGCTCCGGTGGAGAGAGAGGCTCCCGCCGAGACGAGGCACCCGCAGGAACTCCAGCAGACTCAGCACCCCCAGTCTCAGCAACTGCAGGCTCAACACCCCCAGGCTCAGCACCTCCAGGCTCAGCACCCCCAGACTCAGCACCCCCAGGCTCAGCACCCCCAGGCTCCACACGCTCAGGCTCAGCACCCCCAGGCTCCACACGCTCAGGCTCAGCACCCCCAGGCTCCGCACGCTCAGGCTCAGCACCCCCAGCAGCACCACCCCCAGTAGCAGCACCAGAGTCAACCGCTACCTCGACAAGCTCGACAGCGTCTACCTGGGACACACCTGAGGGAGCAGGACCCTGAGGGGGGAGGGGGTCTACCAGAGGAGGACCTAGTGCAAGGAAGAGCGGCGGGGGGGAGAGAGAAGCAGTGCGGTAGGGGAAGAGACGGTAAAAAGGAACCGACTCGTCGAACGTGACGTCCTGAGAGGGGAGGACACGGCGCGAGGTGGGGTGGTAAAACTGCCAGCCAGGCGCGTCAGGGACAAAGCCAAGGAAGACGCAGGGAATAGCACGGGCGGAGAGCTTGTCCGCGGACGTATCGCGGACAAAGGCACGAGAACCCCAGACCCGAAACACTGACGCATCGCCAACCTTCCCCGTCCAACGCAGTGTGGGCGAGGTCTCCGGCAAGGAGACATGGGGCCAGAGGTTGAGCTGATGCGCAGCGTATCGGACCGCAAACGGCCACAGAAAATGGGGGGCAGCCGCATGGACCATGGAGGTACGAGCGACCTCCATGACCAAGCCAATGCGGCGCTCAGCAACCCCATTCTGCTGCGGTGAGGCTGGGAGCGTGAAAGTCTGGCGAATGCCCTCCCCACGACAAAAGTCCCGCAGAAAGTCAGAGGCAAACTCACCACCTCTGTCAGAGTGCAGACGCAGGACGGGAAAGTCCGTCTCAAACCGCTCGCGGAGCTGGAGACGGGCAGCGCGGATCCAAGGGATCAAAACATCAGGGACTTCACCCTTGGTGCGCAAGGGGAAGACAGTGGTGTAACGCGTGTAGTCGTCAACGACCAGCAAGAAGTACCGCTCGCGGTCCTGTCCACGGACGCGGGCTGGGCCCCACACGTCCATGTGCAGGGTGTGCAGGGGAGCAATCGTCGGGAGGAACGAGGAGGAGTGAGGAGTGGCGCGCTGCCGCCCCTCGACACAGGGAAGGCAGGGAGGGGCAGGCGAGGGTGGGAGAGGAGGCAGAGTCTCTGGAAGTCCAGAGACAAGGAGACGTCGGTGCATGCCACGAAGGCGCTGCACCGAGGGGTGACCAAGACGGTGGTGCCAAAGGACAGTCTGGTGCGACAAAGCGCGACACGAGCAAGGGGCCGCTAGCTGACCTGACGCAAACGCAGACGCGGACGCAGCTACCTTAGGGGACACAGTGGTTAATTTGTACAGACTCCAGCCAGGCGCTCGGGTGAACGTGGCCAGGTGCCGACCAGTCCGGGAGCACGTACAGTGGGTCACACGCTGACCTCCAGGGGTGAACTGGTCAACCCACACATCCTGGAGGTCAGCCCCACTCACCAAGTTCGTAGAGAACGAGGGGAGGTGGAGACCCGACAGTGAGCCAGACGGGACAGCCGGACACGGCAGAACTGTGGAGGAGTGCGCAAGGACGGGGCCCCAGAGGGGTCCGCCAGGGAGACTGCAACTGGCCGACTGAGCGGCGTGAGTGTGGTGCTGTCGCGAAAGAAGGAGCGGGAAGCACCGGAGTCAAGTGTGAAGGTGTGCAAGGCCTCAGCAGGCGCAGTACCAGAGAGAGCAGACTCACTAGCACCTGGAGTAGCAGACTCACCAGCACCTAGAGCAGTAGACTCTATACCTGGGTCGGGCGGCACACACAGGTAACAGTCACCCTCAGCACTAATAGCCACAGCATACATGGCAGCAAGGATAGCATCAAAGTCTAGAGCAAAGATATCAACATTCTGCCTAAGCAGATCAGCCCAGCTAGGGAGCTCAGGAGCGTCAGGAAACTGCACGCGCCAGGCGTCCGACAGGCGACCGAAACAACGCTGCGACGTGTGTGGCCCTCCGCATGTCTCCCCATGGCGACCGCCGGTGCAGAGAACGTAAGTGCAGGGACCAGCACCCCCAGACCTCCCACGCCCAGCGTACCACTCACGAAGCTGCTGAGGCGACGGGGTCTCACGGGAAAGCTGCTGCTGCTGGCGCTGGCGACTGCCGAAGCCTCCACGCTGCGCAGCTCCACCCCGACCAGCACCACCGCCGCCGCCACCTCCAGCTCCGCTGCCACCGCCTCCACCACCACTACCGCTGCCTCCACCACCGCTGCCGCTGCCTCCACCACCTCCACCGCCACCACCGACACCTCCACCCCCGCCACCACCCTTGCCTCCACCCCCACCCCCTCCGCCTCCTCCACCGCCACCACCGCCACCCCCGCCGTCCCCTCCACCACCCTTGCCCCCCTTGCCCTTGCCGCTGCGGCGTCTGTCACTAGGAGCAGACGCAGCCCCGACCTGCTCGGTGCCAACGAGGTCGACAGCAGCAGCAGAAGCAACAGAGGGCAGAAGGGGAACGGGGGAACACCCCTCAAAGAAAGGGACGCGAGGGTCGCCGTGAGAAGCACCTACAGCAACTATACTCTTCTCAGCTGCAGTGAGGCGCTCCTCCAGCAGGTCAACGGTGAGCTCGGTGGGGCAAAGGGAGAGAAAGTGGTCCCTGACTGAAGAAAGGGAGTCAGGGAGACGGGTGACCAGGTAGAAGAGAGTGATGTACATGGGGGGGGGGGTTCTTGGCGCAGAACTCGGAGGGAAGGGCAGCTCGGTAGCGGGCGTCACTAGTGCGGAGGTGGGTAATGAGGTCAGCGACTGTAGCAAAGGCGGCCAGGTCAGGGAACATGTACGGTAGCATGAGGCGGCTGAGAGTAGAAGTGGCAGGGGAGGAGTAGCGCGCTACAACAGCGTCATATAGAGACTTAGCAGTCTTGTACTGACCAATGTGCGCGCGCTCAGCAGAAGGCAGGTGACTACGAACAGCAAGGCGAGCGACAGCGTCACGAGTAGTCCACCGCGAGCGAACTGTACTGTCAGCATCGGCAGCAGGTGCAGTAGAGGCGCTGGACGTGAGATCAAAAAGAGATATACCGTCCTTACTATCGCACTGAAGAAACAGCTGCAGATCATCGACCCAGACATTGAAGTCAACGGCACGACCCTCAGCATCGAAGGTAAGAACTGTAGGGCTAGCCATAGTGACAGTAGCAGCAGTGGCAGCAGTAGCAGCAGTAGCAGCAGAAGCAGCAGATGCAGCAGTAGCAGCAGGAGCAGCGCGGGCACGGCAGCACGGCTCAGTAGGGCAGTGAGGCGCGGCTCGGGAAGGCGGCGCGGCTCGGCGGAGCGGCGCGGCTCGGCTGGGCGGCGCGGCTCGGCTGGGCGGCGCGGCTCGGAGGAGCGGCGCGGCTCGGCCGGCAGGTGGCGCGGGTAGCGCGCGTAGGGCAGGTGCTCACCAGGGGCGAGCAGGGCAGGCGCGACGGCGGGGCCGCAACGGCGGCGACGGCGGCGGCCGCGACGGTGACTCCGCGACGGCGGCCGCAGGCGCTACGGCGGCAAGGCAGGGCCGCGACGGGTGCTGTAGGCGCGACGGCGGCTGCAGGGCAGGACCGCCACGGCGGGGCCGCGACGGTGGCAGCAGGCGCGTCGGCGGAGACGGCAGGGCCGCGACAGCGGCTGCAGGTAAGGGGCCGCGACGGCGGCTGCAGATCAGGGGCCGCGACGTGGGGCGGCAGGGCAGGGCCGCGACGTAGGGCGGCAGGGCAAGGCCGCGACGTAGGGCGGCAGGGCAGGGCCGCGACGGGCGGCAAAGCAGCGCCGCGACGGGCGGCGGGTAAGGCCGCGACGGGCGGCGACAAGGCAGGGCCGCGACGGGCGGCTAGGGCAGGGTCGCGACTAGCGACAGCAGGGCAGGGCGCGCGACGGCGCAGGTGAGGCAGGCGCGACAGCGCGCTTCGGGCAGGTAGAAAAAACAAACTCAGTGGTGGGCCCTAAAAAAATCGTTCCCACTAGGGAACCTGCTCTGAAACCATGTGAAAGATAGAGCGAGAAGTGATTGCATTGAGCAGCATGAGGAGTACAAGTAGGAAACCCTAAAGTGTTGTACCCCATATGAACTACCCCACTACAGCCTACACAGACTATAGCATATAAGTTTGACAATTTGTGGTTTCAAGCCATGTACTGTAATGCTTATTTTATATGTTCAGCTAACACACCTTATTGTATCCGAGCCTATTGTGAAATTATGTGGAAGTGGTGGGGTAATTAATAGAGAAAAACGATTGAATAATAATTATACAGTCACGAATACTAACCTGTAATTCGAATTAATGTAGTGTACAGCAGGAGTGTACTATTTGAACTAATGTTCGCGGCGCGATCGACGGTGGCCTTTGATTGGCTCCAGCAACGTGGGAGCGGAATCATCGCGGTGACATGACGGTTTCCTGTAGGTTACCTCTGTGGGTAACCTTGAGGTCACAACGAACTTTGAGGTGACCTCGAGGACTCCTAGATGGAGTCCTTTGGGTTACCCACAGCGGGGTTACCTGGGGGAAACCTTCGGGTAGGATTTTGCGATCCCAATTTTTGGGATGTCCTCGCCGTCGCCTGTCCTTCCCTCCCCGCCGTCGCCTCTCCTTCCCTCCCCGCCGTCGCCTCTCCTTCCCTCCCCACCGTCGCCTCTCCTTCCCTCCCCGCCGTCGCCTCTCGCTCCCTCCCCGCCATCGCCTCTCCTTCCCTCCCCGCCGCCGCCTCTCCTTCCCTCCCCGCCGTCGCCTCTCCTTCCCTCCCCGCCGTCGCCTGTCCTTCCCTCCCCGCCGCCGCCTCTCCTTCCCTCCCCGCCGTCGCCTCTCCTTCCCTCCCCGCCGTAGCCTCTCCTTCCCTCCCCGCCGCCGCCTCTCCTTCCCTCCCCGCCGTCGCCTCTCCATCCCTCCCCGCCGTCGCCTCTCCTTCCCTCCCCGCCGTCGCCTGTCCTTCCCTCCCCGCTGTCGCCTCTCCTTCCCTCCCCGCCGCCGCCTCTCCTTCCCTCCCCGCCGTCGCCTCTCCTTCCCTCCCCGCCGTCGCCTCCGGCGACAAGTGCACGAGCGCAAGCGGATGTTGGTTCGCGAACGCGGGTCATGTCAAACATTATACATGTTCCTATTGTGTAGGCTATAGTGGGTTTAGCCTTAGGGGGTACAACATTGCTAGGGTTTCCTACTTGTATCACCCTGCTGCCTAGTTTCACACATTCTCGTTCACTTCTAGTTTCTAACATGGTATCAGACGCCTAGGTCAGGACCTAGGACCGACGTTGGTTTGGGCCCACCGTTCCGCCGCGCCGTCGAGCGCCCCTACTAGCGCCGTCGAGCGCCCCTTCTAGCGCCGTCGAGCGCCCCTACTAGCGCCGTCGAGCGCCCCTACCAGCGCCGTCGAGCGCCCCTTCTAGCGCCGTCAAGCGCCCCTACTGGCGCCGTCGAGCGCCCCTACTAGCGCCGTCGAGCGCCCCTTCTAGCGCCGTCGAGCGCCCCTTCTAGCGCCGTCGAGCGCCCCTACTAGCGCCGTCGTTCAAAAAAAAAAAAAAAAAAAAAAAAAAAAAAAAAACGTCGTCCTTGCGGGCTGCCTCTAGCCCGTCGCGTCGCCCTTGCGGGCTGCCTTAGCCCGTCGCGTCGCCCCTGCGGGCTGCCCTAGCCCGTCGCGTCGCCCCTGCGGGCTGCCTTAGCCTGTTGCGTCGCCCTTGCGGGCTGCCCCTGCCCGTCGCGTCGCCCTTGCGGGCTGCCTTAACCCGTTGCGTCGCCCCTGCGGGCTGCCTTAGCCCGTCGCGTCGCCCTTGCGGGCTGCCTTAACCCGTTGCGTCGCCCCTGCGGGCTGCCTTAGCCCGTCGCGTCGCCCTTGCGGGCTGCCCCAGCCCGTCGCGTCGCCCCTGCGGGCTGCCTTAGCCCGTCGCGTCGCCCTTACGGGCTGCCCTAGCCCGTCGCGTCGCCCTTACGGGCTGCCCTAGCCCGTCGCGTCGCCCTTGCGGGCTGCCTTAGCCCGTCGCGTCGCCCCTGCGGGCTGCCTTAGCCCGTCGCGTCGCCCTTGCGGGCTGCCCTAGCCCGTCGCGTAGCCCTTACGAGCTGCCCTAGCCCGTCGCGTCGCCCTTGCGGGCTGCCCCAGCCCGTCGCGTCGCCCCAGCCGAGCCGCCACTGCAGCAGCCGCCCCTGGCCCCTGGAGCAGCCGCCACTGCAGCAGCCGCCCGTGGCCCCTGGAGCAGCCGCACCTACAGCCGCCCCTGGACCCTGGAGCAGCAGCCCCTGCAGCAGCCGCCCCTGGCCACCTGGAGCAGCCGCCACTGCAGGAGCCGCCCCTGGCCCCTGGAGCAGCCGCCGTCGTGGCCCGACCCCGCCCTGCAGCAGTCGCCGCGGAGCTCCCTGCCGCGGCCCGGCCCCGCCCTACAGCTGTAGCGGCCCCACTGTCGCCGCCGTCTTGCGCCTGCCCTTCCCACCACTGGTGAGCACTGCCCTGCCCGCGCTGCTACCGCTGCTACTGCTTTTACTGCTCCTGCTGCTACTGCTGCTACTGCTTTTACTGCTCCTGCTGCTACTGCCGTTACTGCCGCTACTGCTGCTACTGCTGCTCCTGGCGTGGCCAGATGCAGCTCCACGGCCGTCCGCGTGTGTCCCTCACGCCCCAGCAGCTTCGTGAGTGGTACGCCAGTTGGGGTTGTCGAGGTGGCCGTAGTGGGAGTCGTCCTGGAGTGGGTAGTTCGGGAGCTTCTTGTAGTGGTACGCTCAGAGTAGAGGGTCGCTGAGTACTGCTCGCTGCCCGTACGTTATTAGCACGGGTGCCCGGACTGGTCAGCCTTGCGGGACGCGTGGTCACACAGAGTCCCACTGCTTCGCCCGTCTGACTGACGCTTGGCGTACAGAGTTTGGCGACGACGCTGAGCTCCACGACTAGGTGGAGCTACTTGGACAGAGGGTAGATATCTTTGCTCTTGCCTATGATGCTATTCTCACTGCAATGTATGCATTGTCTACTAGTGCCGAGGGAGCCTGTTACCTGTATGTGCCGCCTGACCCCGGTATCCAGTCTGCTGCTCTAGGTACTGGTGAGGCTGCCGCACTAGGTGCTCGTGTGTCTGTTGCCTCAGGCGCTGGTGAGACTGCCGCTCTAGGTGCTAGTGTATCTGTTGCCCCAGGTGCTGGTGAGGCTGCTGCTCTAGGTACTCGTGAGTCTGCGCCCTCTGGTACTGCGTCTACTGAGGCACGGCACACCTTCACACTGGACTCAGGTGCTTCCCGCTGTTTCTTTCGTGACCGCACTGCCCTTGAGCAGCTTGCTCGGCCGGTTGCAATCTCCCTCGCTGACCCCTCTGGGGGTCCGGTCATTGCGACCTCCTCCACTGTCCTCCCTTGTCCTGCGGTCCCGTCGGGCACACTGTCAGGTCTCTACCTCCCCTCGTTCTCTACGAACTTGGTGGCGGGTCGTGCGCTCCAGGACGGGGGTGTCCGCCAGTTCACCCCTGCCTACGAGCGCGTGACACACTGCACGTGTGCTCGGACGGGTCGCCACCTGGCTACCTTCACTCGGCAGCCGGGGTCGGACCTGTACACACTGACCACTGAGTCCCCTCAGGTAGCTGCGTCTGCGTCTGCGTCAGGTCAGCTGTCGGCCCCCTGCTCGTGTCGCTCCCTGGCGCACGAGACCGTCCTCTGGCACCACCGCCTTGGTCACCCGTCAGTGCAGCGCCTTCGTGGCATGCACTCCCGGTACCTTGTCTCTGGTCTTCCCGGGGTTCTCCCTCCCCTCCCACCCTCGCCTGCTCCTCCCTGTCTTCCCTGTGTCGAGGGGCGGCAGCGCGCCGCTCCTCACTCCTCCTCGTTTCCCCCGACGACTGCTCCCCTGCAGACGCTCCACATGGACGTGTGGGGCCCAGCCCGCGTCCGTGGACAGGGTCACGAGAGGTACTTCTTGATAGTTGTTGACGACTACTCGCGCTACACCACGGTCTTCCCCTTGCGCACCAAGGGTGAAGTCCCTGATGTTTTGATCCCTTGGATTCGCGCTGCTCGTCTTCAGCTCAGCGAGAGGTTCCACTCGGACTTTCCTGTCCTGCGTCTGCACTCTGACAGAGGTGGGGAGTTTTCCTCCGACCTCTTGAGGGCCTTCTGTCAGGGGGAGGGCATTGAGCAGTCGTTCACGCTTCCGGCCTCTCCACAGCAGAATGGGGTTGCTGAGCGCCGCATTGGCTTGGTCATGGAGGTCGCTCGTACCTCCTTGATCCATGCGGCTGCCCCCCACTTTCTGTGGCCGTTTGCGGTCCGATACGCTGCGCATCAGCTCAACCTCTGGCCCCGTGTCTCCGTTCCGGAGACTTTGCCGACACTGCGTTGGACGGGAAAGGTTGGCGATGCGTCGGTGTTCCGGGTCTGGGGATCTCGTGCCTTTGTCCGCGATACGTCCGCGGACAAGCTCTCCTCCCGCGCTGTTCCTTGTGTCTTCCTTGGCTTTGTCCCGGACGCGTCTGGTTGGCAGTTTTACCACGCTACCTCACGCCGTGTCCTGCCCTCTCAGGACGTCACTTTCCACGAGTCGGTCCCCTACTACCGCCTCTTCCCCTACCGCACTGCCCCGCTCCCCCCCCCGCCTCTCTTCCTCGCACCAGGTGCTGCTGTGGTAGACCCCCTCCCCCCTCAGGGTGCCGCTCCCTCAGGTGTGTCCCAAGTAGACCCGGTTGAGCCTGTCGAGGTAGCTGTCGACTCTCGTCCTGCTAGGGGTGCTGAGCCTGGGGGTGCGGAGCCTGGGGGTGCTGAGTCTGGGGGTGCTGAGCCTGAGAGTGCTACGTCTCAGGGTACTGAGCCTGGGGGTGCTGCGACTGACCGTGCTGCGCCTGGAGGCGCTCCCTCTTCCCAGCAGCTGCGTGAGTGGTACTCGCGGTACTGCAGCCTCAGGAGGGGCGCTTCTGGGGCTAGGGGTGCTGCTGGAGCTGGTGCTCGTGGTTCCCCGCCTAGGCGGGAGCCGCCCTCTCCCCAGCGGCTCCGAGAGTGGTACGCTCGGCGCTGCAGTCTCCGGAGTGGTGCTGCTGGTGCCGCCGACCCTGGAGTTGGAGCTGCTGCTGGTGCTGAGGACCCTGGCGCTGGAGCCGCTGCTGGTGCCGCGGACCCTGGAGCTGGAGCTGCGGCTGGTGCCGCGGACCCTGGAGCTGGAGCTGGTGCTGGTGCTGGTGCTGCTGGCGCAGGAGCTGCTGGTGGTGCTGCTGGAGGTGCTGCTGGAGCTGGAGCTGCTGGAGACGCTACTGGTGCAGGAGCTGCTGGAGGCGCTGCTGGTGCCGGAGCTACTGGAGGTACTGCTGGTGCTGGAGCTGCTGGAGCCGCTGGTTCTGGAGGTGCTCGTACTGGAGGTACTGGAGCTGCTGCGGGGGTTGGAGCTGGAGGTACTGGAGCTGCTGGGGTTGCTGGTGGTGCTGCGGGAGTTGGTGCTGGAGACCCTGGGGCTGAGGGTGCTGGTGCTGTCTCTGCTGGTTCAGGAGGTGCTGAGCGGCCGCGGCCGTACTACGTTCCGCTCCTTCAGCAGGTTCTTGGCCTCCCGCCCTCCACTGGTCCTTCTCCTCCCCTACAAAGTCCACCACCTGTCCAGTCGCAGTCACAGTTACCGCTTGCCTCTCCACTGCCTGGTCCTTCTCCCTACGCTGGGCCGACTAGAGGACTTACGGAGCGTCGTGAGCCTGAGTCTCGTCCTGCGTCGCCTGAGTCTCGTCCTGAGTCACCTGAGTCTCGTCCAGCGTCGCCTGTCCGCGCTGTCCGCGCTGGTCGTCGTGCTCCGCGTCAGCGTCCTCCTCCTGTACTTGGCACTCACTATATGACTCTGCGTCCTTCCATTGCTCCACAGCGTGTCCCTCTGCCGTCTCCTCCTGCGTCCTCTCTTCCTGACGTTGCTGACCCGCCGTCAGACCTTGCTCGTGCTGCCAGTCCTACTGTCACACGTCTCCTCGCCACTGTTGTCACTGACCCTTCCTTTGAGTCCACTGCTGCGTCTGCTCTAGTCGCTGAGTTGGTTGATTTTGCTGCCGCCTGTCGTCTAGACTACGTCGCTAGCCTTGTTGCTGAGTCTGAGTCTGTCTGTCCTCCGTCCGTCGGGGGTGAGTGTGCTCTTGGCACGGACGTCCTCGAGGACAGACAGGAGGAGTTTGAGTGCTTTGCCGCTGCTTTACCTCATCTCGTGTCCATGCTGATTGCCCCTGAGGGAGACCCGGATGCACCAGACATCCCGACCCCACGCTCTTACGCAGAGGCGATGGAGGGTCTCTACTCCTCTCAGTGGCAGA